GTGCATCTTCATCACTTGCGTCTTGTATTTTTTATTTTTTTTTTAATGTTAGTTTGCGAGCTAGAGCGAGACTAGCTTAGACATTATTTTATATGCATAGTCCAAGGAGGAAACATACGTATTCGCGGTTCCAAAACCACAGGTAATTGTTTCTGTTAATATTACCAACATCCCAAAGTAAATCTGAATGATTTCCTCATCCGAAAAACTCTCATTCTACAAAGAATCTGAGCAAATTGTCTCCTCCTGGACTTGCTGCAGAAAGTCGCTTCCCAGTTATGGCCTTTTCTGGAGAGGGGGCAGCGTGGTACGTGGGTCGAGGAACTCCCGTCTGTGAGGGGCCTGCTGTCTGTGGGGGGCCATCGTGTCGCTCATCTCTGCAGGCCTTTGGTCCTTGGGCTGTGCCCGCAGTTCCCAAGGGGATCTGAAGGCCAACTCTGATAGCTCATGGACACCCCACAGACTTTGGTTATTTATGTCCCCGATCCTAGAAAGATAATCAGCCCTCTGTCATTCCCAGAGGCTCACAGAGGTCCTCAGAGGTTCAGTGCCACTTTGCTTCTTCTCCAGTCACCTTCTCATCCTCATCCCTGTTCCTGTCCCTGGAAGGACTTACCTGGTACGTGGTTAACACTCTCTGTTTTCTGTTTGTGTACTTTTTCAGGACTTTTAACTCTTGGTGTGAAAGAGTCTGCCATGGTCAACAAAATATTTACTTGTGTTAACGTTCTGGTCCTGGGCTTCATCATGGTGTCAGGATTTGTGAAAGGATCGATTAAAAACTGGCAGCTCACGGAGGAGGATTTCTGGAATACATCTGGCCATCTCTGCTTGAACAAGTGAGTTGTCTGTTGGCATGTGACAATTCTCCATATTTGGTATCTAACAACATATACACATGTTTGGAGATGTAACTGGCAGGACAGTTATATAATTTGAATTTATTTTGTTAATTTTTATGTTTCATTATGTTTTTTGTAGTGAAGCAGCTGAAGGTATTTTGTATATTTGGAGTTTGTGTCAAGGTTTATCACCTAGACCTGGACAGAACCTGGTATGACAAGAATGGCACTCAGGAAGACAAAGTCATCGCTCTGATTCCATACTGTGCATAGTTCAGGATCGTCGGTATTTTGTATATTTGGAGTTTGTGTCAAGGTTTATCACCTAGACCTGGACAGAACCTGGTGTGACAAGAGTGACGTTCAGGAAAACAAAGTCATCGCTCTAATTCCATACTGTGCATAGTTCAGGATCGTCGTCAAACTCTTTCCTCAGTTTCTGTTTCATGACCAACCTCCGAATTTTGTTTTCAGAAAAGATTTTCTCTGCAGTGCTGCTTTACTTTTAAATGCCTTTCTATAGTATTAATAACATAGAGGAAGAAGAAATATGTGGTGCTTTTATCAGAGGTTTTCACAATTATTAAAGTATTGAAATGTGATTACAATGATCTCTCCCACACTTGACTTGTGCTGGTTAAGCCCTGACCAGCAGTGGCCCATCACCCTGTGGCTGACTAAGGACAGCCAGAGCCAGAGGGGACGGCCGGCTTGAGCCTGTGCTTTCTCAGGCCACACAGTGAGCCCTCAGTGACAAGCTTGAATCTCAGAAACAAGGCCAAACAATTATAATGTATGTTTTTTATCTTTTTTGTCATATTTTCAGGTGAATCTTAGGATCCCTGGATGAAGAGTGGAGAATTAGATTTTGTCTGTGAATTCTATTTTCATTAAGGCTAAAAGCTAAACTTCTGTGATAGAGATACCTTCCTAGGATGCAGTGGCTTCAGAGTGACATTGCAGGTCCTGAAATGAGCAGCCAGCTCGGCCACCACGGGCAACATCCTTGTCTCCCTGGTCAGAGCTGGGTGGTGGGCACAGGCATGACCCACCCTCCCAGAAAGGGGAGAGCATGGAGAAGAGTGTGCCCAGGGCTTTAGAGGACAGGCCGGAAGACACACACCCCTTCTGCCTCATGCTGTTGGCAGACATCCACATCTAGCTGCAAGGGAGGCTGAGAAAGGCTGCCCCATGTTAGGAGTCGTAGCAGTCTCACATGCCAAGGTGGTTGAGGGCTGGGGCCGAGCCACATGCTCCAGTGTCCTGATCAGTGGGCAGGCACTGATGTGTGGCTAGTTGACAGCTAGAACACAACCAGAAAACTGACACCAGAAAAATGTTATGTGGTTAACAGTACAAATAAAAATAGCCTTTCTTTTCTAAACTCTGTTACAGAGAAATGAGGGCTTTCGGTATATCATTCCCAAGCATTCCAGAGCCATATTTTTGCCACATATATTGGTGCCTATTAATTCAGAGTAGAGTAAAACCAATTCAAAATATGCTTTGAAGTAACATAGACTTTGAAAACTTTGAGAGCTTATTTTCCTGGTTGCTATTTTCAGGTCAGGAGTGAAATATAGAGGGCACCTCTTGTCTCCTGGCTGCCGGTAGAAATTGCATTTAATTATTTTTATGAAGAGATTGTGCTAGTGACAGTATTGATCTCCACTGGCTGTCCTCACATGAGGTGCCCTGGTGATGACTACACCGGCCTCCTGGACAAAGCAGCATCTGTCGCCCTGGCCCCTTGGTTACTGGAGGGCCTTCAGTTACATCTGTCAGCCTCGTTGCGAGGGCACAGCCCCTAGACTGGTGACACTGCTGTGGGGGCTGCAGGGAGCAGCCACTGTAAGAGGACTGGAGCAGAGCTTGCGCTTTCACCTGATCGCAGTCTCTGAGCTCCTTTCTTTTTTTAGCCAACTGTAGATTTGTGTTTCTGACAACAGCCACATGGTCTTGCATGAAGTTGCTTGTCTCTGAATTAGTAGGGCATCTCCCAACCAGACCCTATGCTGTGGAAGAGCTGCGGTGTGTGTGAATCTGGCAGCTGCTTTGAGTGCTGTGGGTTTGTGATTTTGTGATGTGCTGTCTCTGGCCGGCCAGGAAGGCTGCTCGGAGCGTGTGAGTCAGTCTGTCTGTTGGTCTGGGGTTGGAGCATCGTACTCCAGACTGGCTGCTTCCTCGCTGCCTTGATGAGGGCTGCCTCTGGCTTTCGTCTCGTGCTCTGTAGATGTGGTGACAGTGTAGCATCAACACAGCGTGGAGGCCTGTCGAGGAAGTTTCGTTGGATGGTGTTGGTTAGTTAGGATGGAAACCCCAAAATAACATTGGCTTCAACAAGATAAGCGTTTAGTTCTCTTCAGCTAACATCTAGAGGTGGTCAGTCCAGTGTATCTTGTCACTGGGCCAGGAATCCAGTCCTTCCTTCTAGTGGCTTTGTCCATGGCCCATATTCCCAAGGTCACTCCAGGGCCTAAGACGGCTGATCCTGCTCCACCCAGCAGGAAGGAAAAGGAAAAACTAGAAGTCATCCTCTCTCCCTCCACCCCCAGACATTTGCCAGGAGAGTGTGTGCCATGTCTGCTTAAATCTCCTTCATCAGAACATAGTCGAATGGCTGCACCTCATAGCTGGAGACTCTGGGGACTAAGTCTTGATTCTTAGTGGGTTTGAGTCCAGCTCGAATAGTTAAGGGTTCCATTACTGTGTAGAAGCACAGGGGCTTGTGGCTTTTGGGGGCAACTAACAGTTTATTTTAGGATGGCAGGTGGAAGCTACGTTTGGAGTCCCCATAAAGTATGTTTGCTGCTAATGTGGTGGGAAGAGGGCACAATGGGAGGCGCCCCTGCCCTGGCCCGGGCCCAGCCTCCCTTACTTTGCCGGTTATTGTCTTTGGTGACTTCTAAGTGACCAGCTGAGTGAGATGAAAAAGGGCTGGTCACCCTACTGCAGGGGACAGAGCACTGAACTGGGACCCGGGTTTCACTTTGCTTTGTCACGAGGTGACCTTGGCCAGATTGTGGCCTTGGACAGTCCCCCTTTCCTTCACCTGTGAGCCACCAGATGATGAGTGGCACAGCCACCTTGTGCCTGTAGCAGGTTCATTATCGATTATATCTAAAGAGACTTTTAAAAAAATTTCTAAATGTTTTTTAAAAATGGATTGAGGCTGTCTAGAACGGCTTCTCTGGTTATTTTATACTGATATCCTGCCACTGGGATCAGGAACACCCAAACCTTTCTTAAAAGTTGAATTTAAGGTTTTGAACAGGTAGTACATTCCCATGGCTCCTATGTCGTGACATTGCAGTAGTTGACACTGAGAAATCTTGTTCCCACCCCTTTCTTCATCTCCCCTACCTCCTGTCCCCATGTATAATCATTTTTATTATTTGTGTGTGTGTTTCAGCTTCCTGCTTTTCTTTATATAAACACAAACGTGCATATATATACATACATACACACATATATATGCATTTTATGTCTCCCTTTCTCACACAAAAGGTGGCGTTCTATACACATTTTTCTGCACTTTGCATCTTTTTCGCTTATTAGCATGCCNCTTAAATCTCCTTCATCAGAACATAGTCGAATGGCTGCACCTCATAGCTGGAGACTCTGGGAGACACACAGTCTTGATCCTTAGTGGGTTTGTGTCCAGCTCGAATAGTTAAGGGTTCCATTACTGTGTAGAAGCACAGGGGCTTGTGGCTTTTGGGGGCAACTAACACTTTATTTTAGGATGGCAGGTGGAAGCTACGTTTGGAGTCCCCATAAAGTATGTTTGCTGCTAATGTGGTGGGAAGAGGGCACAATGGGAGGTGCCCCTGCGCTGGCCCGGGCCCAGCCTCCCTTACTTTGCCGGTTATTGCCTTTGGTGACTTCTAAGTGACCAGCTGAGTGAGATGAAAAAGGGCTGGTCACCCTACTGCAGGGGACAGAGCACTGAACTGGGACCTGGGTTTCACTTTGCTTTGTCACGAGGCGACCTTGGCTAGATTGTGGCCTTGGACAGTTCCCCTTTCCTTCACCTGTGAGCCACCAGATGATGAGTGGCACAGCCACCTTGTGCCTGTAGCAGGTTCATTATTGATTATATCTAAAGAGACTTTAAAAAAAATTTCTAAATGTTTTTAAAAAATGGATTGAGGCTGTCTAGAACGGCTTCTCTGGTTATTTTATACTGATATCCTGCCACTGGGATCAGGAACACCCAAACCTTTCTTAAAAGTTGAATTTAAGGTTTTGAACAGGTAGTACATTCCCATGGCTCCTATGTCGTGACATTGCAGTAGTTGACACTGAGAAATCTTGTTCCCACCCCTTTCTTCATCTCCCCTACCTCCTGTCCCCATGTATAATCATTTTTATTATTTGTGTGTGTGTGTGTCAGCTTCCTGCTTTTCTTTATATAAACACAAACGTGCATATATATACATACATACACACATATATATGCATTTTATGTCTCCCTTTCTCACACAAAAGGTGGCGTTCTATACACATTTTTCTGCACTTTGCATCTTTTTCGCTTATTAGCATGCCCTGTAGAGTTTTATATATGGGTGCCGCACCTCGCCCAGCACCTGGGTCTTCCCCGTGTCGCTGTGTAGTGATGGAGTTTGAGGACAGGCGTGGCCGTTATCACAGTCTGCTCCCAGCTCCAGCTGTGCATGCCTTTGCCTGTCACTCAGGTGACATCAGTAGCGAGGGCTGTTGGTCACTGCCCGTCACAGTCCTGAGGAGCCTGTGGGATGCCCTCCCTGCTAGTCACCCACAGCCCCTTGCTTTCCTCTCTCCCATGCTGTTTTTGTTGCTTGTGCTTGTTCTGTCTGCGTGACACAGGCACGTTCCAGTACCTCGTCCCCTTCGAGTCCCACATCGTTCTGGGGTTTAGTGATAGAGGCAGTTCCTAGCACTTTCCTTTTCCCCTGAAACAAAATTCTCAAAAACCTTTCCGCGTGCTTCTGCCTCGTGGTCACTTCAAGCAAACCCGTCAATGATGACATTCATTTATTTCTGTTTGTGGCCATTTCCATAGCTTTTGACGCTTCAGTGGGCATCTGGAGGCCTCCCCACCCATCTGTTGTCCTGGCAGTGACAGGGTACCCAGGTAGGACCCAGCCCAGGGTGTCAGCAAACACCTAGTTGTGTCAGGAGTCGGGAGGCCTGTCGGGAGACCCCACAAAAGACATGCTCACTCTCCTGGTCCCCTCCTTCGGTCTCTTCACCCCCCTCCGGAGCCACTTGGTTGTTACCTGTTTTGTTCTAAGCCTAGGCCACTGTCTAGTAGAAGTCTGCTCAGCAGGGAGTTCCACGTTCTCTGGCTGACTTGTGTGCGTGGTGGGAGCGGACGGCTGGTCCCCGGGGCCTGGGAGGCCGGGCTGCCCTGGGTGAGGAGGCCACAACTCCACGCGGTCCCCAGGCCCTGTGGCCTGCTCACTGATTCGTTCTGGCTGTTACGCTTCAAGATGACAAAATAAACTCTTGCTGGGTAATAATTTTTCCTACATCCGTCACTTACACATTTCTGGGTTTCCCTCATGCAGCGACTTCCTGAGCCACAGTGGACCCCACGTTTACACACACTTACTTCATACATGTAGTTCTAGTGTCTTGGTGGGGGTTTTGATAACTGAGAGATGTGATTATCCCCTAGGAATCAGTCAAGGCTTAATCCCCGTTAGAAAATAGTTGGGTCCAAACTGTTTCTTTTATTAGCCAGTTGATAAATCCCATTGAAGGCAAATTTCATCAATGGGCTGCTAACACAGCCTTAAGAAAGTCAGTGTTTATAGGATTGGAGTGTCCTGTGTGGCTCCTCTTCTCACACTGGGGTGGGGGCAGGAATGTCCTGTGCAGCTGGGAGGGGCTGAGGGGGGTGGCGATCACCTTCTGGGGCTCTGGACCCTGCTGCCGACTAAGGAGTGGAAGGTGGGGGAGGAGCAGGGGCCGCCCTTCTTGGACTAGAAGGAGTTGGGCTGCTTTTTAGGTGGCAGCAGAAGCCTAAGGTGACCTGGTGACGGGCAGGGGCAGCGTGCCTCATAATCAGACAACAGTGGCCGGGAAAGCCACCTGGACAGACTGCGTGGTGCACCCCCAGCAAACTGAAGGGAATGTGTGGGGGCGACAGACAGGTCCGGTCTCCGGCTGGCAGGGAGCAGGAGTTTGGAGGGCCGTGGACGGGGCCCTGACGGGGCCAGAGTGCCGTTCTGAACCTGGCCACAGTGTCTAGTCACTGTGTCAGATTTGTTGGGGCTGTTTTCTGAATATTTAGGGAGCCAGGCTTCTTTCGGACTGCTGGGGTTTGCAGTCATACCTGTGTGCTGGAGCCATGCTGTGCCGGGTCCCTGCACCAGCATTACCAGGAATGCTTTTGTTGACGAAAGCAGTTCACTTCTTTCTTAAGCTTAGCTTCTCTGGTAATGTTTGTTTTGAGACTTGGATTTACCTGCTGGTAAACACAGGACCTGGGGTGGGTTCAGCACCCCTGGCTGATGGTTGGTTTCTTCCCTGTTTCCTGGTGGAACCCCTGCCTCACAGTCCCTGCCTCTGCCTGCCGAAGTCATTAGGTAGAACATGCCTCTGCAAAGGGCAAGGTCTGTCCCCACAGAGTCAGAATGCCATGGCAGGTGACAGCCTCCCGAGGATCATGGCTAAGGCTCGCAGCCCCTGGGCCTGGCAGTGTGACAGGGTGGGAGGTGGCCATCTGGCATTGCTTCTCTTCAGGACCAGACTGTGCAGCGGGTGTTGCGATCTTTGACCGTGGCTCTTTCTTCCAGTGACACAAAAGAATGGAAACCCGGAGTTGGTGGATTCATGCCCTTCGGATTCTCCGGTGTGCTGTCGGGGGCAGCAACCTGCTTCTACGCCTTCGTGGGCTTTGACTGCATCGCCACCACAGGTAGGCCCACCAGCCAGTGCTGTTGCTCCCAGCAGACAGGTGGGACGAAGCCTCCCCGGGGCTCATTGTCCTCCTGCCTGCTGGCACCTAACAGTTGCTCATGCACGTGGTTGGATCGTGTAGATTGGCAGCTTCCTGCTCATCTCCCCCTCCCCTTATCACTTGCCCACGTGGCAGTGCCAGACAGGAAACCCCATCGTGAACACGACTCACGGCTCTGCTGTTAGAATGGGATGATGACAGCAAAGCTACGGCCTGATTTCATATCTGTGCGTCATCCGGGAGAAACGAGGCTGTTAAAAATATTGTTATCCTGGCGGGTGAATAGGCCTGGCTCCATTGAGCTTCCAGATTTTCTCTGCCAAAGGAAACAAGTCTCTTCCTTGGCTGAGCCCGTGATGTAGAGGCTGAGAACACCATGCCAGGGCTTCGGGCTGTCTGGTGTGTGGTACAGAGGCCCACCCCTCCGTTCCTGAAGCCCAGAAGCCCAGAAGCCCCAGGCCTCACTGTGGGGTAGTCAGTCATGGTGGGTGGGTGCGTCTTGCCCTCCTTGGGATGACCCCTTGCTGTTTCCAGGAGAAGAAGTCAAGAACCCCCAGAAGGCCATCCCCATGGGGATTGTGGCGTCCCTCCTGATCTGCTTCATCGCGTACTTTGGGGTGTCTGCCGCCCTCACGCTCATGATGCCATACTTCTGCCTGGACAAGGACAGCCCCCTGCCCGATGCCTTCAAGCACGTGGGGTGGGAAGGCGCCAAGTATGCGGTGGCTGTGGGCTCCCTCTGCGCTCTGTCCACCAGGTGAGAGAGGGCTTCGTGCTGCCGCACCTCCGCACCTTCCTAAGGAGGAAGCCTGTTAGCAGGCCGTGGGAAGCCAGGCACACCTGTTAGCTGCTAATATTCCTCTTTTCCCTCCAAGTAGAACCAGCACCCCAACCCTGATTGCGTGGTATTTCCCCCTTGTTGCTGTTAATTACCCCAAGATATTTTCATCACAAAGAACCTGAGACCCACTTTTCAGCACCATCTGCTTAGCAAGAGACTGGCTCTCTGTCCCCAACTTTGACCACTGGACCAGGGCCCCTCTTTGAACACCATGTGTTGGCCCTTAGTTTGGCTGTAAAGCAGGTATTACTTTGAAAAAGGGAGTAAGTGCCTTTTAATGAAAAACACTGCCTCTGGTATTTCTTGCTAGCCTGTGAATTAGGAACTGGTTGCTAAATATTGATTTGCCACAGAGCGATCCACATGAATGCGGTGATGCTTTTATTTTCTGTTTGATTCTTCTAGAAGTAATTGCAGGAACAAATACAAAACTTTCCTTCCATAAAGATTGCGACTAGATTTCATGCTAGTTTATTCTAGATGTTCCCCGTTCTTTACCTCTATTCATACAGTATGTGCTTTTTCTGGGGTTGACTTGTTAAATGCTGAGTCTCTTAGCTGTGGGTTTCACACGGTTTGGAGGAATAGCTGTTCCGGTGAGAAGATCAGGCTCCCTCTCCTCGGTGGTAAACCATGCGTGGTTGTGTGTGGTGCCTTTATTCCTGAGAAGCTGGTTTTACTCATGCATTTTGCCTTTTCCCCCCATCTAGTCTTTTAGGTTCCATGTTTCCCATGCCTCGAGTGATCTATGCCATGGCTGAAGATGGACTGCTATTTAAGTTTTTGGCCAAAATTAATGACAGGACCAAAACACCAATAATCGCCACATTAACCTCTGGTGCCATTGCTGGTAAGTACCAGAACTAATTTCACATGCCAGTATTTCAACAAGTGAGTTATTCCCTGGGAGACATCTTTGTAACACTTAGTTTTTATACTTGGCACCTGGTTCCAAGATAACAGCCCCTTTGACAAAAGGCAGAGGCCAGTTTTACAGAAGACGTGATTCTTGAAGAGTCTGAACTCTTTTATTATCCTGTCATTGGACATAGCTTAGAACGCACACCGCTTCTTCCCAGCCATCCGTCTTTCCCCCTTTCTGGACATTTCCCTGAGTAGACTTTGGCAGGCTGACATCGTGCATAAACAAGCTGAGTGAGACTTCTTGTTAGTACCTGGAGATCCAGGGTTGTGCATCCTAGCTCATGAATTCTCTGGAAAACGGATGTCCCTTATAATCAGTGCGTTATAGAATGTGCGACCTGTTCCTCAGGGAATATCGAGCGTGCTCCTGAGTTTATAAATAATGGCAGGCCCAGAGGAGATTTATCTTATCAAATCAGGTTCATCATCAAGAGGACAATTTTGTCAGATGAAGTCAGTGGACTGAAGCACCCTCTGAGCTGTGTGATGTTCCAGGGTTCCCCGATGAAGGGAAGCAGAACTGAAAGGAAGCTCATGTGCACGCTGCTGTGTGCTGTTTCTTTCATGTGCTTCCTCCTTTCCTGACCGCATTTTATAGCCTGACAGGCAGGGATTGTCCACCACACAGACATAGAGTGGAGGCCCAGAGAGGTGACGTGAGGGTGCGCACCCAGGAAGTGAGGAGATGGCTCTTGATTTCTGGTTTGTTTTTATGCCAAAGCAGACAAGTCCTGTCCAGGAAATGAGTAGAGTGGTGGCTCTTTTTGGTAAATTAGGACACATGGTACCTCTCACAATTTGTACCATAGTAACTTGTTGAATGGTACGTGACCATCTTAAATGAATGAATTACTTACTAAGCTTTATTTGTATTTATGCCCTTAGCAACATGTGCTTAATTTTGTGGATTAATATTATGTAATAACAGAAAGCTAAATTTTTTATTATTTAACATGTTTGCTGTGTAGTTCTTCACTCTTGAGAGGATTGCAGCGGTCAGCTTGAGGGGCACCATATGTCAAACTATGACCAGTGTATTTCAAGGATTAAGGAACTGGAAATAGTAAATGGTTTTTCAGTGTTTACAAGTAATTTGACCATATGAAAAACTGGCCTTAATTTCCTTCCTGTGCCAATAGAGGAAGATCAAACTATAATCTTTCAAGTGACTATGAAGCACATGCCATTCACAAAACCAAGGATTTACTCTTTCTTTTCATTTGGCAGTAGTGGTAAATAGGTAGTTGGTTTTCTAAAATCACCTCACGTGGAAGAAATGTCTCAAGTTTCTTGAGTAGGGACGTAGGCATTCGTGGCGTGCGTAGTGGGATACTGTTCAGATTATCCAGGAGGCCCTCATTGCTCTTTAATCCTATTATTTATCCTCAATTTAAATTTGTTTTAGTTGCAGTGATGTAGAGCAGCTTGAGAGATATTTGTGGAAAAATAAAGGTTTTTTGTTTATGTTTTAACTTATGTTGATTGCATATGATTTGAAAATATCCCGAAGTAGATCTAGCCAAGTTATTTTTTAAACGGGAAAGTTGATATATACACCCACATAAATACACACACACACTCTCACAAAAATTACAAAGCATCTTAAAATAAGCATGTGTGTTTAATTCTTTTTAAGGGAGTACGGCTTGGTGACGAAGCTGTGTGGGAACAACTCTTCACATTTCTCCCATGTGAAGTGATGTCACATGTGAAGAACAACTCTGTTTTCCCTGCTCACCTGTCTGGGTTAGGAGCCCCTGCGAGTTCTCCCAGAGCAACAGACTTGCCCTCCCCTACCTCTCCATCACTGTGGTCTCCTGATGCCCGTGTCTTGGGAGGATACTGTCAGGGAGGCTAGGGACTGTGCTCTGCCCTGTTCAGTGGTGTATATCTGTTCTAGTTATAGAACTCAGTGACTGGCACATTCTCAATCAGTACTGGATGGACTGATGGGTGGATAAATGGGTGTAGATGATGGGTGAATGGATGGATGGGTATGTGGATGATTGATGGATGGATGGATGATGGATGATGGACGGATGATGGATTATGGACAGATGATGGATGATGGATGGATGATGGA